CCTCCGACCCGGCCGCCAACTCTCTCTCGGAGCTGCCCCGCCGCATGGTGTTCAGGACAGGTGCCAATGCCTATGCCTCCGCCGCCGCCGCCTCCCCTCAGCCGGCCCGGCTCGCGACCAAACTGCCCTCGCTGCTACTGCTGCTACTGCTGCCACGCTTTCCCCGCCCGAGCTCGTTGCCATGATCTCTCAGGCTCTGGTTGACAGAGGCAGACCCCGCCCCCAGACGGGGCCCGAGAAGGGACAATCGCCGACCAAACCCTGAAACCTCATAGGCGAGGGTGCACACGTGGCCAGGCCTGTCACAGAGGTGATTGCGGCCATCTTGGAAGAGGGCGGAACCGCCCTGGCCCGCCGACCCTGAAAATCCATTAAATTTCTGAGAACTTGGACCCTAGCAAGAAGAGGGTGGAGGTGAGTCTGAAGGTAGAAAGGTGTCTAGCATGCGTGAGGCTCCCGAACCTGGGAGTGATACGTATCTCAAACGAGAAGTTCAGTTCCCCCACCCCCATGCACACTCACTGGGAAACTCCGAGCCTCCGATCCATCCCAGGGAAATGCACCGCGGGATATCTGCTCGTTCTGGTGACGATGAATGTGACAGGTCCGGGCCCGTGGGAGCCACGAGAGTTCTGTTGGAAGAAACTCTTTTTTGTTCCTGTGAGAACCCACAGACTTGGGGGCAGGGGGGATTCTCTGTTCTCAGCAAGTTCCCAATAGGGACAGAGAACGAAGCCCCACAGATGGCCAGCAGAGTTGAGAACATTGACGACTGATTTTCTTATTATGCCAGTTTTTCATTGCAGTAAGAGATACATAACAACATTTGCCATTTTAACCATTTTAATATACAGTTCAGTGGCGTTCAGTACGTTCATACTGTTGGTGTAGCCGTCACCACCATCCATCTCCAGAACTTTTTCTTCTTTCTACACTGAAATTCTGTGCCCACAAAATAACAACTTGACTTCCCTCAACCCCGGCCCCTAACAACCACCATTCTACTTTTTTTCTTAATTAATTTGACGTCTGAGAGGTATCTTACAGAAGTAAAGTCATACATTTGTCCTTTTATGTCTGGCTTATTTCACTTAGCAATGTCTTTCAAGTCCATCCATATTGTAGCGTGTATTGGAATTTCACTCCATTTAAGACTCATATTTTATTGTATGCATACATTGTATTATTTTCACCTATTTATCTGTCCACAGGCATTTTGTTTGTTTCCATCTCATAACTGTTGTAAACAATGCTGTCATTGACATTGGTGTGTGTGCAATATCTGTTTGAACCTCTGCTTACAATTCTTTTGGGTTGTCATATCTTTTTAAAGCCAATCCAAGCTACTAGGTCTTTTCATAGTATTCCACTCTCGTGCTATAGGGTGTACTTTTTTCCCTTCTTCTTCTTCTTGGCCCAAATTTGCTCTTTAGAGTATGTCCCTTTTCCCTTAAATAAATGTAAAGCTTTGCTACTGTTAAGAAAAAATAAAGCCAATCCAAAAAGATAACTCTCCTCTCCCACCTGAGGGAGTGACATATGTTTTGTTTGGGGCTTGGGTTGGGTTGGGTTTTTAGGGAATGGGATTGGAAAGGTATCACCTCATCCTAGGATGATGACAATAACTATTGAGTGCACATGGGTGAACTTTGTCTCACTCTGCACTAGAAAGTAAAAGATAAAAGGAACGCAGAGGCTGTGGAGGAAGGTAATCCCTTCCTCTCTCATCCATGCAAGAGTCTTGTTTTTCTTGGGCTTCAGGTTCCACTTGGTGAAAAACCGCCTTGACATGTACTGTCGTAGCCTTACAAGATTCAAGCCTCTTTGTAGCAACAATGACTGCACTCCTCTGTTCCCTCAGAGGCCATCATGGCTTAGTTTTAATGTTTCTTCAAGTATGGTCTTCTTGCCGCCTGCACCAATAAGTCCCCTAGGGTGCTTATTTAGAACATAGGTTCCTAAACACCTAGAGACTTTGTTGCAGAACATCTAGGTGAGCCTGAGAGTCTGCATGTTAACTTAGTTCCTTTGCTTGTTCCAAAACAGTCAAGATCAAGAACCACTGATGGGATCTACTTGAAGACTCTGGGGACCCGTGGAGCTGTCCGTGGTACCCACCAGAAGCCTTCACTGCACCAACACCACCACCACCCCCAGTCTCTCTACACCAGTCTGTCCCCCAGGGCCGATCCCTCCACCTGGACTCAGAGAGTGGCACCACTTTGGTTTAGTCATGTACTGAAAACTACTAGGTCCTAACTTAGACCTCTCCCTGGCTTCCTAAAGCCATAATGCCAGCAGGTCTTACAGGTTCTACACGGAGCTATGACTGCCATCTTTCCTTTCATACCCATCACTGTTAGCACTGTCCCAGTTCAGGCTTCAGCCCTTAGCGTGAGCTGTTGCACCAGTCTCCTCATGAATCACCCTGCCGCTGGTCCCCACCACGGCTCCATCCATTCTCCACCTGCTACCAGCCTGCTTAGAAACCTCCCCTGATTTCCTGCCATCTACAGACCAATTCTGAACATGTTAGTTGTCCTAAGAGAGGCTTCTAATTAGCATTTCTGAAGTGATCCCCCTCTCTTTGCCTCCATGCTCTTGGACACACTGTCCCCTCTGTCTGGACTTCCCTTCCTTTGTACCTTTACCTGGGAAACTCAGATTCACCTTGAATGTCTCTTGCATAAGCCCTTCTCAGTGCTCCCTGGAAGAAGTTCTGTCCATTTTTCTGCTGATATAAATGATAGTCCTCCTCCATGGTCTGTCACACTGTACAGAAATCATCTCAGCTAATGTGGCCTGGTTCATCCCTAAACCTCTATCTCTGGGATCTACAACATAGTTGTTCTCAGAAGGCAGTAAGAGTGCATCACTTAATGAGTTGTTTTTAACTGTGTCGAATCTCAAAAGACCATCCCATATACAGATATTTATTTTGGCCTTACATCCCAAGACTTCTGCCTCAGGGCTTTGTACATGTCTTTCCCTCTGCCTAGAACTTTTGTTCTAGATCTCTGCCTGCTTCTCCTTCAGTGTTCAGTGTAAGTGATACATCTGCCCAGGTACCTCTCGTCTCTCAATCTAAATCTGACCTCTTCCAATGAAATAATGATGTAAGAGGAGAAAACAAAGAAGAAATACAAAGTGGTACATGATTAAGTGTCAACTGAGGCCAAGTGTAAAAAGGAGACAATATTTAGGAGTCCAAGGAATAGCACACTTACTGTGAATTAGAAATCCAGAGCATGGCCTCACATAAAAGGTAGACCAGAAGAGAGATCTTCAAGATGGAGTAAAAGTCAAGTAGATGAGGGCTGGGGATGTAGCTCAATGGTGCTGTGCCTGCCTGGCAAGTGCAAGGTCCAGAGTTCAGTTACTGGTACAAAAAAAAACCAAATACATGAAAAGTTAGATGGGGTGGCCATTGTCTGCAAAGGATGTGGGCAGGAACATGAAATTCAACCTGTGCCCTGCCTCCCCACCCTGCAGGTGGGGGTGCCTTTGCCCATTGGTTCACAGGCTTCCAGGGGTAGCAGAGGTCTGTATGAGAGAGGAGGTGAGGGAAAGATGTGGTGCCGGTAGATGTAAGAAGGAGGCAATCATTCTCCTTGGGGAGGCAGGGAGTAGACTGGACCAGTGGAAACACAAGCCTTAGAGGAGGGAGAACAGGAAACAAGGCCCATTTTGAGTTCTGTGATCGGGCTTTGGACACTAGGTACCCGCTGACTTCTTGGAAACCCTTGAAATGTGTCAGTGGAAAAATCCAACCCCACACGCACCTCCTCCAAGAGAAGCACCAGCTGTGGCTATGGAAGAGCAGAGAAGGCCTGGGATGAAGGATGAGAACTCCTGCCCCGGTGCACAAGCGCGTGAGTAGAGCAGCTCTCTCCAAGGGTTCTGTCCTCTCCCTTCCTCACATTCACTGCACCTTACAGTTACAGTGTCACTCGCTTCATCTCTTCTCTGTCTCACCAGGTGTCAGACATAAACAGTGCACTGTTCTTGTGGCCCACAGTATCCCAGTGCTGAGTTCCGTGCCTGGAAGAGGGCACTTACTCAGTAACTATTGCTTTAATGAATAAAAAAAATGAAACTGCTCAGATATTCAACTATAAGGAAATAGTTAAGCAACTGAGAGCAAAAGTGGTCTACGACAGCTTCAGCCTCCGAGGGAAATGTGGATGATGTAACACGAAGGGAACGGGTGCAAGCATTGTAATTGCAATGCTTAAAAACTGCTGTACGTAAACAGGGCCTGGAAGAATATAGAGACAAATGAGAGCGGCTGTGACGCTGGAGACATGAGATCTTGCTGGAATTTTTCCTCTCAATTTTGCAGCAACCTTGTGGCTCTTCCTATTCTTGAACGCAGAAATCAGTCCCATTTCTAGAGACTGCTGCTAAGAATTGGCAGGACAAAGCTTTCTGTCGTACTGCTACTCAGGAGAGGAACTGGACTAGGCACTTTGCAGACCTGGCATTTCCTCTTCGCAAAAGCTCTGGGAGAGATGGGCCCCGCGTTTTACTGATGGGGCAGGGAATTACTACGCAGAAAGGAGAAGACTCTGACCCAAGTCACACAGCTAACAAGGGCAGAGACAAGAGTCTCACTCAGGATGGTCTGACACTAGCATCCAGCTCCCAAAAACCCCACACCAAGCTTCTGTCCACAGGAATATTCAACATATGTTTAAACATAGCTGTACCCACATGAACGCATAGGTACGTAAGTAAACTCACACACTGACCATAAGCTATGAAAAAGTTATAGTCAGAAAAAGGACTGGGAGCAAATATGCCCAAGTATTAACAGTGATTATTCTGGATGATGGAAGTCAGGGTGCTTTATCCTCTCCTTTATTCTTTATTATTTTCTGTTTTCTAAATTTTCTGCAGGGAGTATGTATTGCCTTGTTAACTGAAAATTTATTTTTAAATAAAAATATTCACCATGGCTGCTGTTATATCACTTGTACAGCGAGTTCATTTATGGGGGTAAAAGACAGGAAGAACCTTTCCAGATGAGAGCAGAAGGGGCAGCTTCTCCTCCAGCTGGTTATTTTTGCCCTGCCAGTATCAAGAGCTGCCAGCAGGTGGGGATCGAGGCCCAGTCAATAAAGAGTTGGAGGAAGAAGAGGTGCAGGAAAATCTCACTGCATTAAAATATCTGGAGCTCCTGCCTGGCTCTGTTTGCAAACACATTTTTGCACCTCTGGGCTTTTGCTGCTATTGCTTCTCCTGCATGGTGCACCCTCCTCCCCATGCCCCATCTGACCCCACTGTCTACTTGGTTTATCCTTGAAACCCAGATATAAAATCGTCTCAGTCAGGTACCCAGCAGAAAACCTGGCCTGCTGGATTAGTCTTGTCCAAAATAAACTGAATTTTAATAGACTTCACATTTTAAGAACCCAAGCTGTCCATCACCTGCTTGGCATAGAGAGGCATCATCAGAACAGGGAGTATTTCCAGCATGAGACAATGGGACCCACAACAGAAGCCCACAGCGGTGGGACCCTGTGTCACGGCAGCCCCCATAAAGTGCCATGTTGCTGTGTGTCCCCATTCTTGCCCACCACACACACATTGTGTGAGAAGGGGATGGAGAGGGAAGTCCCAAAGGATGGACAGAGGCCACAGGTCAAGGAAGAAGGAAGGGCCCTGAGTGTTGACGGGAGACAGTGGCGGTAGACAAGGTGAGGCCGGCAAGGTCGGTGTCGACACGCGCCCTTTTCCACAGCCATCAAGGCCTCCACAAGGGTTTGAGGCAGAGGTTTCTGTTACAGAAAGAAAGCTCTGAGTGTGGAGCAGTAGCCACTACCATTGAGAAGTAGATGCAGAAGGTCTGACACCGTTCTGAGCGTTTACGATGATCATCGAGTTCAGTGTTCACAGACTCCTAGGAGGCGGGTAGCACTGCTATCCCCAATGTAATGAGTGAGGAAAGAGCCCAAGACAAGCACCTGCCTGCAGTCACATGACTGGGAGGAGTGGCGATGAGATGCCAGCCCTGGGCTACAGCCCAATCCTTAGCTCTTTGGTCTTAGAAGAGCCTGGGAGCAAGATCGCCGTGGAGAAACCGGGCAGGAGTCAAGGCGGTGAGGTTGAGGCTGTAGGAGGGAGTGGGGTGTAAGGCAATGGGGAGGGGGTTCCTGCTGCTTAGGCCACATCCAGCTCCCTAGGCTCGATATTTTCCTTTCCCTGGCACCAGGGGGTTCAGCCTGGGCTCCTCTCCCACTAACCCAAGTCCAAAGGTCCCAGTCTCTTCCTCCCTTACTGTCCTCTTATCTGTTTCATGCTTCTTTCCCTCAGCCAAGGAGGACACCTGGGAGGGTCAGAGAGCCGGGGCCCCATGGCCGTGGTCTGCACATGAAGCCCCGGGAGCCCCAGGGACCCCAGCCCCAATGCTTACACATCTTTAGCTATCTGCAGCTCCCTTCTCTCCCAGGCCCCTTCTCCAGGCACCCCCCGCCCAGGAGACGAGCTGGCACCTCTTCATCTCAGGAGGGGGAGTGGAGCCCTCCAGAGAGCCCTTATCCTGGAAAGTCTCCTGGAGGAGGCTGGTGGCGCACAGGGGGCCAGGTGGGTGCCTGCTGGGCAGATTGCCTGGAGGAGGGGTAGAGAGTGGTGAAAATGCTCTCGGCAGAAAACTGGCTGTGGAAGGAGGCCTGATCGTGTCTGCTCCAAGAGTCTCAAGAAAGGAAGAGGAGCAGAGGAGGGGAGCGAAGGAGGGCGGGAGGTAATATTTGCTTGGCACTTTCCATATATCAGGAACTTGATCTAAATCACTTTCACAGCAAAGAGATCTAGAACAGGAGCCAGCAAACTTTCTGTTAAGAAGCTACAGAATAAATAATTTCAACACTGTAAATCCTGTCACCACTACCCACCCCTTTTACTACTACGAGAAAACTGCCATAGACCAAATGTAAAAGAATGTGCTAGAATGGCTATGTTCTAAACTTTATTTAGCAAGGTTCACCATTATAAACCCTGGCAGATGCCAAGGTTTGACTCTGTGCCCCCCCCATTTTCCCACATTGATTCTCAAATTCATTTGTTCATGGTATTGGAGAGGAAGGTCTTTGGGAAGTAGTTAGGGTTAGATCAGGCTGTAAGGGCGGGGCTCCAAGATGGGATCAGTGGAAGAAGAAAGAGGAAGAAGAGGAGAGGGGAGAAGAAAAGGAGGAGGAAGAGGAGAAGGAAGAGGGAGAAGGAGAAGGGAGCCAAGCTGGCTCGCTTGCTCTGCCTCATGGTGTGATGTCCTCCCTGGATGCTCCATCTTGCTCTTGGACCCCCCAGCTTCCAGAACTGGGAGAAAGAAATCTCTATTCATTGTAAATTACCCAGTATCAGGTATTCTGTTACAGCAACACAAAACAGACTAAGACAGATGGCAAGACTAGAAAAGACAGTAAGTGTTTCCAAGAATGTGGAAAAATCAGAGCCAGTAGAAATGTAAAATGGTGCAGCTGCTTTTGCAAACAGTTCCTCAAATGGTCAGTCATAGAGTTATCACATGACCCAGCAATTCTACTCTTGGGTGGAATGAAAATCCAAGAGAAAGGAAAACATGTCCACATAAAGTCTTACATACAGCGGTTCGTAACAGCGCTATTTACAATGGCCTCACAGTGGGAACAATCCAAGTGAACGTCAACTGCTGAGTGAGTCACACGAAATGTGGTGCACACATTCAATGAAACATTATTTGTCAATAAGAAGAAATGATGTCATAGGCAATAGAAGAAATGTCTCAATACCTAATGCCATTTATTTCCAGATTGAAAGAGCCCACTATATCCCAGAGCAGAGAACAGGGAAAATACACACCAAGTCATATCATCATGAATCATGGCACATGGGGCTGGGGAAGGTCCTAAACCTTTACACAGAGAGAGAGAGCAGGAGGGAAGTTGAAAGACACATGAAATGAGACAGAGAATGGCATGAGATTTCCCAACCACACGAATTTGGAAGGAAATTTTGCTTTCAAAATCATGAATCAAAGTGGCGAAGAATTCTATATCCAGCCTAATTATCAAGAATATAGCCAAAATGCTTTCAGACATTCTAGACCCCTCAAAAATTTACATTCTAAGTGTTCTTTCTGAGGAACTCCTATGAATGTGCTCTATCGAAAACAGGGAGCAAAATATGGAAGAGGAAGACAAGATTTGTAGCAAATATGGAAATTAAGGGGAAGACGGACTACTGGTAAACCAGCCTTGAAAAACATTATGCTAAGTGAAAAAGCCAGACGCCTAGGATTATGCCTTATACAATTCCATTTGTATAAAAATGTCCAGAATAAGCAAATCTGGAGAGAGAAATTAGACTTATGGTTTTCTAGGGCTGGGAGGCAAGAGGTGAATAGCAAATGGTAGGTAAGGGGAATAGGGTTTCTTTTGGAGGATGATGAAAACTGAGTATGACAGTGGATACACAACTTTGAATGGACTAAAAACCGGTGAACTGCATACTTTAAAAATATTAATTGTGTGGCGTGTGAATTATATCTCAATAAAGCCTTTCTTTTAAAAACAGCCCCGACCTGCCCCCCCACACCATATAATTTCTGACCCTGGTGTGGAACCGAGTAGTCAGACATCCTGGGCTGGGATCTGCACTCCTTCTCATGACCCTGGGCCATGACACTTACCTCGTCTGAGAAGTGTGGATCGGCGATGATTGGTGCTGCTAGTCAGCGTAGGGAAAGTGCCTGCCCGTCAGTGCTCTCTGGTGACTATTACGGTACCCATTTCAGAGGTGAGGAAACTGGGCCTGAGACAAAGGGAGGCTTTTGTCCAAAGTCACACGGTGAGTAAGTGGCAGAGTTCAAGCCCAAGCTTCAGGATGTGTGATGCCAAGTCAGTGTCCTTCCCATTCTGCAATTCTGTCACACTGGCACTGATGTATGTCCCAGCTCTCTGGCCTGGCCCTGCACACTCTGGGCTTTCATTTCCCTTGTGCCGAGTGAGGAGTTTGACCCAGATACCCTTACAAAGTCATCTGGCTATGACTTTTTTGTTTTGTCTTCTTCGTTGAACCGGGTCTCACTATGCAGCCAAGGCTGGCCTTGATCCTCCTGCCTCAGCCTCTCGAGGGCTGGAAGTGCACCACCATGCCTGACTGGCTCTGACATTTTACACATCAGTGAAGAACCTGGCATGGAAATAGCAGCCTTGGCCGGGCTCTGTGCACTGTGTATGTTTGTGCCACCAGCACTGGGCCTAGTGGAAGGACGTCCTACTTCTCTCTCTGGACTCTCGTGGCAGCACCTAGGAAAAGAGGAGGTGCATGATTACATGTAATAGAATAACAGCCAGGCATGTGAAGCAGCAAGCTGGGAATAAAATTACTGACGACACGATACCCCCTTGGATTCCTCAGGCACTCGGGGAAGGCAGAGAATAAACACCAAATTTCAAATTACTTTTCCGAAAAGGTCAAGAGAAATTGAAAGCCACTGCACTCTCCTAACAACTGGTTTCTCTCTTGGAGAGCTGTCAGGGTTTAAAAATATTTTACAAAGCAATCATCTGTAGGCAATCAAGAGACGCCTCACCCAGGTCAAGAAGCAGGAGCTGTTGAAATGTATCCGCAGAGTTGTTCCAGAGGAAGAAGGAGGGGGAAAAAAATCATTGAGCACTCGATTTTAGCCTAACTTTGAAAAGCAAGTTTAAGAAAATAAACAAAGAAAAATAAATCCCAAGTATTCCCAAGTGGCCCGATTTGAGAAGTCCTGTTCCTTGTTGGTTTAAGAGGAGAAGTGAAGGAGAAGATTTCCTTCCATTTTGGGACACTCACTCCCTTTATTCCCCTACCCTATCACAACCAGTTAGTTGCTAAGCTACATACTGGCTCCTACTGCAATTTACCAGATGGATTTTACAATAGACTGAAGATTACCTTCAGCCTCCAGAAAGGCTGGTTGTGA